GTGTGTGTTGGGTGGGGGGAGGTTCAGCCGTGTAATCTGCTAAGTGTCTCCCACTGCAGAAACAGCAGCACTGATTCAGTTTAGCCTGAGCAGACCAGGCAAATCTGCAGTAATCCTCGCCACAGAACCCAGTCTGACAGTCCCACCATCTGGAACAGCGCCACCTCGTGCATACGTACACCCCATTGAAAACAGAACATTTCTATTGCTGTCTTTCTCTGTTTCTGCAGCAAAGCACGCAGCTAATAAGAACCCCACAGTGGAGCCGTTTCCTGACGGCTTGGAGATGATCATGTTTGGTGAGTTTGGAGAAGATCATATTCCAGACTTCTTTGGATGTAGTTTGCACAAATATTTTGATCAGCAGTAGCATTAAAGGGGTCATATGATGAGCTTTCAATTTTTCCTTTCTCTTTGGAGTGTTACAAGCTCTTGGTGCATAAAGAAGATCTGTAAAGTTGCAAAGACTAAAGTCTCAAATCCAAAGAGATATTCTTTATAAAAGTTAAGAGTCAGCCACGCCTACCTAAAACGGCTCGTTCTAACACGCCCCCACATACCTACGTCACTATGTGGGAAGATTTGCATAACGCCGCCCAAATGTAAATAATGTTCTTTTTAGCAGCATCATATGACCCCTTTAAGATGTCAAAAAGACAGTTAGGAAGGGCTTTATAGAGGAGCCGAAAAGGAAATTTTTAAATGTATCCACAAAATATTCCGTTTCGTCTCTTTTTGAGTTGTTCCTGTAATTATTGTTATTTGATGCCTCTGTCTCATTTTGGGGAGCAGAGAGGCGCTTCTGGAGGATGCTTGGTGTGTTCTCTACACAAGTGGGCTACGCTGGGGGCTTCACACCTAACCCTACCTACCATGACATGTGTTCAGGTTAGTCCCAGCCACATAAACACAGCCGATCAAATACAGATATGCATATAGACACATGCCCAAATACATTTTCCCCACTTCCATTTCGCTGCTACATGCTTGTTCACTTCCCATATCAGAGGTCTCTGATGACACTTTTCCCAACTGTAAGTCACAAACACTAGAGCAGCTTCACTGTACCCAGATTAGTGCTTCGCTGCAGCCTTCACCAAAACATTCCCTTCATCTGCAGTGAACTACCCAGAGTGCACTGCTCTCTCCCAGATCCGCAGCCCTCCCCCCCTACCTCTGTATGACCTACTTGTAGTCAGACAGTTCAGAAGAGATGAGATGGAGGGAGGGATGCAGCTGTGATGTTGCAGTTTCTGAACAGGTCCCAGCGAGAAGATTCTGACTGCAGCTCTGCAGAGGGTTGGCTTTCTCCACACACACACACACAGACTCTTTTAAGTGTGTAGTATGGAGAAGACAGTGGCAGTCATAATTGCGTTAGGTGTTGGGGTTAATATGTAGACAGGCTTTGTTATTTCTAAGAGCAGCAAATGCATATGCTGATACAGTTTTACGCAATTGTTTATTAAATGGTTGTACACATTTGACAGAATGGTTCTTATGATCTTAAAAACCTTCTAAAGGTTTATGCTTAAATTCTTGGAAGTAGTTTTGTAGACAAATTTAAATTGTGCCTGAAATTGTTTCTGAGTTGGTTTACAAAACCATTTTAAATGTTTAAGCATTTGTGGGCTCTTCTCCAGTATAGCTTAGCATCTCAGGATGCACCTCATAAAGTTGGATGAGAGAAGTTTATCTTCATCATAACCACATGAAACATACAAACACATACACTTACACTACGGTTCAAAAGACGGTATGTTTTTTTAATGTGTTTGAAAGAAGTCTCTTACTGCATTTATTTGATCAAAAATACAGTAAAACGGTAATATTGTGAAATATTATTACAATTAAAAAAACTGTTTTCTGTTTGATTGTATTTTAAAATTTAATTTATATCTGTGATGGCAAAGCTGAATTTTCAGCAGCCATGATTACACCAGTCTTCAGTGTGACAAACATTCGGAAATCATTGTTAGATGCTTTTTGGTTCTTTGATGAATAGAAGCTTCAAAAGAACAGCATTTATTTGAAATAGAAATCTTTTGTAACAATATTTACATGTCTTAACGGTCACTTTTTATCAATTTGATGCATCATTGCTGTATGAAATTGTATGTGTTTTGCTATTGCTACATTTATGAGGTTTGGTAATATTTCTAAAAATAATTTTTTGAAAAATATTTTCAGAATATTTAAATATTTTTAACAAAATTTGATATGTCATTATTTATATAATCTGATGACCTATAATTGAACTGTAAATTCAACCAAACAGCTGTCGTAACCACTAGATTCAAAATAAGTCATGTTAGAACTGACATACGGTAAAAATCTGTTTAACCCTATCCCTAAACAGGAATGTTTTCCACAGTGTTCTTCACTAAATGAACACAAGAAAGAATGATATAAAAAAAAAAAAGATTAATTAAAATCCTTGATGTTCCTTTTAAATAGCCTGAAATTAATGTAAGCTGCAAAATCAAAGAACATTTTCACATCACTATTTGTGCATGATCAAACTTCTTTTTGTGCTGTTCTCTCCAGGTTTAACAGGGCACACAGAAGTAGTGCGAATGGTCTTCTCTCCTAAAAACATCAGCTTAGAGAAACTTCTCAAAGTCTTCTGGAAAAGCCATGACCCCACTCAAGGTAAACCAACACACCTTTTCCCTCACATCTACACGCATGCGCTCACACAGATGTCCATAGTAAGACCCCTAGGTGTGAGATGCAGTGGTGCAAAAGCAAACTGCCTCATGAGGTTAAAATACGGCTGCATCTGTGTTCACACTGCCCTGTGCAAGTGTATGTGCCGGATGGTCAGGATGATCTCGCGGGAATCGGAACAGCCTCAGACAGGCCATGTTAATGTGTCTGAGACCAATTCAGCCATGAGAGGAAAAGAGACGTTGCGTATGTGTGCGCATTAGTGCAAGCGTCACCTATTCCTTCAGTCCACTAGAAACAGACCCAATACTGAACACACAGCTGATATTTGCCGTCTGTGTTGTCCTTCAGGTCCTCATTTGAGAATAAATCAACCTTGCTGTCTGTCTGCGATACAGCACTAAGCATGTGACTCAAAAAACCCAGAATATAATTACAGAAAAATGAATTCACTCCATTCAAGTAATTGGTTGATCTGTAAAACTTGGTGTGTTTTTATCTATCTATCTATCTATCTATCTATCTATCTATCTATCTATCTATCCTTCTGTCTCTCCATTCATCATTCCAACTGTCTGTCTATCTGTCTGTCAGTCTCTCTGTCCATCTGTCTGTCTGTCTATCTGTCTGATGTAACAGTGTGGCTGCAGCATGAAGCTGTTGTTTGGCTCTCTTTGTTCAGTCACCCTTAAACAGAGAGAGAAGAGAGGAAGAGTCACTCCTCTGAAACATTCATAAAGCCTGACCCTGAGGACCTGAAGTGCGCACACACAACTCTTCAGCTCTCCTTCGTCAGCTGGACTGTGGGACTACAGTCTCTGCTTTAATAGTTTACAGGTTTATCTCAATAAATTAGAATGTTGTGGAAAAGTTCATTTATTTCAGTAATTCAACTCAAATTGTGAAACTCGTGTATTAAATAAATTCAATGCACACAGACATATGGTTTGTTCAGTCAGGCCCTCTTAATAACTTTCTTGTTTGTATGTTTTCATCCTGGAATGTGCACAAAATCCCTTTGGGGATGAGTAATGCATGTCTGTATATCTGCCAGTCAGAGCGCGGTTTTAAGGATGGCGGAGTGGTTTTCTACTTTGAATCTTTCATGTGTCAAATCATTGGTTTGAGCTGACATGATTACCCTGAGTGTTCAGTCCTGTGACAGCTCTCTAATTCACATCATGTTCTGAAGGTGTCTGAACTTTAAAAAGTCGCCCGGGACACCGTCACCCTGTCAGCCAGAATGCCCCAGAAAGTAAAGAGCAGAAAATTACTCATAGGAGCCAGGGTTAGTTGTCAGAAATGGCCTTCAAATGTGATTAAACATCTACCTTGCTCTGCTTTCTTTTACCTATAAGAATACAAGGTATGCGCGGATACATATTTTTAAAACTTACTAGTCCAGGGGTCTCCAAAGTCGGTCCTAGAGGGCCGGTGTCCTGCAGAGTTTAGCTCCAACCCTAATTAAACTCACCTGAACCAGCTAATTAGTAGGGCTGGGCGGTATATCGAGTTTGTACGATATATCGATACCTGAATACATAACTTACATTTCACAGGTATAATCTCCATCTGTAAATGTTAGAAAGCCATGGAAATATTTCTATTTTTCTGTCAGACGTGCATGAGCCTTCTGCTTTGGGATTCTCCGCTAAACTTCACAGACTTCAGTGAACGAGTGCCGCTGCGCGCATGAGCGCCAAACAGACAGAGCTCAATTAAATAGGAGCGCAATAATTCTGACTAAAATATACATTTCGCTGAAATATTTGTAATTGGACAATAAATGTGACATGTAGAATTTTAAACCTACAAGTAAGTCTATTTTTATGATAGCACTGACTGTAAAGTGACTGTAATGAGGTAATCAAAATAGCCTAACACAACTCTGGGCTTTTGTTCTCATTTATTTTCATTTTTAGTTTAGTGAATTTAACTGTAATATTGAGCATACGCAACAATCACGCAATCTTCTTGTAATTGTTTACTTTATTTACTAATATAATCAGCAAATAATGTATGTTAATTAATATATTACTTAATAACTGAATGTTTGTGTCATTTACTGATATATTTACCACTGTTTTCTTTGTATCTCTTCTGTCTATTATAGACCACATGTGTGAATTTTTTTAATCCAAATACAAAAACGAAAATACAGATATATATGTATATCGTACATCGCAAATCGGCCAAAATAAAACCGAGATATGAATTTTTGCCCATATCGCCCAGCCCTACTAATTAGGCATACTAGAAACTTCCAGGCAGGTGTGTTGGGGCAAGTTGGAGCTAAACTCTGCAGGACACCGGCCCTCCAGGACAGAGTTTCGAGACCCCTGGACTAGTCTGTGGGTTATCTGAACAACTGATTGACTAGCTGATCTTAAAGGAGTAGTTCACTGAAACATTGAAATCTGTCATTATTTACTCTGCAGAACACAAAAGAAGATATTTTGAAGAACATTGGGGTCCAAATAATATTGACTTTCATTGTGTGGGCAAAAATACTTTTTCAAAATATCTTCATTTATGCTCCACAGAATAAAAAATATGGATGTGGATCAATGTGAGAGTGAGTAAATTATGACAAAATTATTTTTTTAAATAAACTGTCCCTTTAAGGATGTTCTGTATAATTAGACTGGCTTAGGACGATGTCTACCCAACCCGATCTGATGTGTTTCTTAGGGGGTGTTTGCATAAGATCCATTCTTGCGTTAGAAAACAGTTAGAGTGCAATAGAATGGAACACAAAGCAGAGGTCTCAAGACACATTTTTTAAAGCTGAAGCGTTTTTAACTTGACACTTCATCTTAAATTGCTTTTGTATACATAGACCAGGTTTTAAAAAATAGACTGCAAGCAAGAACTTACAGCCTTTTATTGTGATAAATTATAGATGGCCAAGAAACATACAGGCTAAAAGGTATAACCTTTTACTGCACAAAACTACCATAGTCCTCTCAAAAAGCCTACAAATTATGAATAATAAGAGAAACATTGCTCAAAACAGATGATCAGAACAGACTATTTGAAGTCCGAGTGTAATTGTCTGGAAATGCATTGTTGAAGCGGTGGTTCTTTAAAAAGGATCACTTTAGAGATGAGAGGGTTTTAGCAATTTCTACCCAATAAAATACTTTAGAATTTGACATAACTACAAATATGTAATATTTACAGATATTTATCTACAAACATGTCTCCTGAATGTATGAAACTTGCTCACCTGTATTGACGTCAGAATGTGCAGTTTTAAGCAATATTTCAGCATTTACTAAATGGCATTTTTAGGCCGTGTTTCATGACCCTGCAGGAGTTTGGGTAGAGAAGCATGAAGAAGAGCATGGCCCATGTGCGTGACAGAAGCATCAGATTGTGTTTTTTGGTGCGGGCCGCTGCACTGCGTCGGGAACGTCTCTGTAGGCTGTTCATCCATGCATGCATAACGCAAACTCCATTTGTCCGTACCCGAACACTCACACCGAATCAACTATGAATCTGTGCACGTGTGTGTTCGTCATTACTTTGAATCACGGGTAAGTACAGTATGAAACCGCAAGTGTGTAAGGTTTCATAGGCTGCATACGTGCACACTTGTTTCCTTCGTGCACAGAGACCTGTGTATGCAGCTGCTGTCTCACAGTTCAAAGGGTTCTGCTTTCAGCAGCATGATTTCTGAATCGTCCAATCACGGCTGGGATAGCAATATCCACAGCCAATCAAACGCTCCCAGCACGCTCCTCTTCGTACCGCTGTCTCATACCCAGCAACACTTGCTCTGACAGAGTCTTTAGGTCATGGTATTGCAAACGTGCGGAAGCTTCACTATACCCTACGCTCGTTTTCTAAAAATATAGGGTGTATTTCATGCCGTCATGCTACATCTTTGGCTGTGCTGACAAAGATAGTACAGGAAGCCGAGGGTGGGGAGAGGCGAGTTGGGAAAATTGGGTTCCTGGATGGATTTGACAAACAGGAAATGACTGAAGCTAGTGTAACAATTCTATTGCCTGTGGCAAACCGTAGAGTGGAGAAGTGCAGTGCGGACACACACACACACGAGAGAAACACGCACACGTACGCATGATCGCCTCAGCAGTTTGTTACTTCCTTGTTTAAGAAAGAACCCCCTCCTTCCCTCCCCATTCCCAGCGGACCCCAGGGCTCTCAGTCTGTCTACAGGATAACAACATCTTATCTTCTCTGTTCTCCTCTCCTCCCCCATCCCCAGCTCCTTCTCTCCTCCATCTCTCGCTCCCCCTCACCATCATCCCATCAGCATTTCCGCAGTGACTCCTCATTCTTACCCTCCGCTTTTATCTCTTAGTCACTTTCTTCGTTCCACCATCCTGCGTTCCCTCGTTCCGCTAACAGTGAAAGGCAAGAGGGCAGGTTTCTCTCCACCTTTGTCCTCGTTTTTCTGTCTTGCCACTTTCATATTTTATCGTGTCATGTTTTTTTCTTGATTTGCAGTATTTATGTAGCTGCTGCGTCAGAGAGATGCATTAACGCACGATGGCTGACGAAGGCGTTCGTCATACCTTTCAAATATAGAAAGGTTGATCTAGATTCTCCTAGGCCTGTAAATGTTAAATCCAGTTTTCCACCTGCCATCAGTGTGTAACCTGTGACTGACACCTTTGATGTATATAAACATCGATGCACAAGCTAATTATGTACTGAAACTGTTTGCAGGATCTCTATAATTACCCAGCAACACTCTTGATTTGTCATTGAAAACAAAGGTTATTGGGTTCACGAACACCATTTTGTACACAAGCCACCAAATGGGACAAAAAGAAAAGACTGTTTCTAAATAAAGATCCCCCCTCGTCTTTTTGGGGTTCAGTCTGCAATGGGCACGTGCCTCTCGGGGGGTGACCTCGACCCCAGCCCCTCCCCAATGAGGGGGGGCTCATTACAGTTTGTCAATCAGCTATAGGAGGAGGGGAGAGTAGATGAGAAACGGTTGAAGAAAT